TTATCCGCGACTGAGAGAGAGGCACTTGCAGTTCTGTAGCAGTGTAAAAGTTCCGAGTCTATTTTGGAAAGGCGCCAATAACATGTATTCTGATCATGCGGCGGTAACTAGATTGTACTCAGGGAAAAAAACTTATCCCCAAGGTTAATAAGATGGGCACTCAAGTTACAAGAATACAATCTGGTAATCAAGCATACCCCCCGAAAGGAAAATATCGTAGCAGATGCCCTATCCAGAATAAAATAGATGAAGAAGGTAACACTGTAAAGGTGGCAATGCTCACAGCATGTACAATAAATTCCCGAGAAACTGTAATAACCGAACTGGGAAAGGATCCTGAATTTAGAAACATTTATGAGTATTTAAAGGATCCTGAAAATTTTAGCCACCAAGATATTGTGGCGATAAGAAATAGGGCGGCCCATTACGAACTAATAGATGGTCTATTATTTTATACAAAAACTACAAATTCCAACAACGAATTTCGACCTGTTATCCCAGCTAGTCTTAGATTAAATATCCTGCAGGAGTTACACGACTGCCCTTTAGCTTCTCCTGCTGGTTTTCGAAAAACTATCCAACGCGTACGCGAGCAGGTCTATTTTCCTGAACTGCAAAAGTTAACAAGGTGCGTATGTCCAGTCCTGCCCAACATGTCAAGCAGTTAATTATATTAATTTCCGCCCGGCCGGGTTTCTAAATAGTATTAAATCCGAATTTCTAAATGAAATAATTGGCATCGATTTATTGGGCCCCCTTCCCAAAAAGTCAGTTAAATAAAAGTCGGTATCTCCTTGTTATGTTGATGATTTTTAGTAAGTGGACCGAAATTGTTCCCTTAAAACGAGCCTCCGCGAAATTAGTTACTGATTCTATTTTAAATAAATATTTTAAAATACGGGCGCCTCCTAAAGTTATATCGGATAATGGTCCTCAATTTGTAAGTAATTATTGAAGACATGTGCCAAAACTGGGCATCGTCATTAAAATGGTCCGTATCGCCGCAATCAAATATAGCGTAACGGGTCATAGAAATATAGTGAAAATTATCCGTAGTTTATGTAAAATTTTCATAAAAGCTGGGTAACTATTCAATGAATTAGCTTTCGCCCTTAGGACCGCAAAACTGATACACGGGCAAAACTCCTGCTGAGTTATTTTTAGGCAGAAAGATTATAACGCCGTTAGATAATTTTATGTTCAACAAAGAGCCCCAGAATTTAAAATGGGTGATATAAAAAACTAATAAAGAGCAAAAAAGAATACGGAAATAGCACCAAGAAACAGAAGTTATACTATGATCTGAAACGACGGGAGTAACTTATAAAGTAGGAGATGAAGTATAAAAATTAAGCATTCACTTTCTTCGCACCAGAGATAAAACCGCCAAATTTTTTTCACATTTGAAGGACCATATGTCATGGAAAAAATAACTCAGCTGTAGTGGTGTTAAAAGCCATGAATGGTGAAACATGCTCCGCAACATTGACCATATAAAACCATTCTATGGCCGTAATAAAATGCAAATATTTAAAGATCTTTTGCAGGATCCGGCACGGCAGGCACTGCAGGCACAAGCTCCAGAGGTGGAACAACGACAATCACAAGGACAAGCCATTAGGAGGCAGGAGCAATTGAAAAGAAATTTTCTCCGTTGGAAAATTGAAGGTCACAAGAAAAAGAAGCCGTTCCACCGACCAGAAAAGAATTAACGGCTTGTTAATATGTTCTTATATACAATGTGAACTGTTATTTTAAGCGTTAAGAAATACTGTGATATGTTAAAAGTGAAAGTAATGCCAAAAAATTTTAACTTATTTGTGTGACTGTAAAAAGAGCCAAATTGTTGTGAATATGTGTTAAAGGTTGAATGAATGTATTAGGCTCTCTGACGCTACACTTCAGAGTTAGCCACTTTCAAATAGTACCTCAGGGTTTAGAGATGAATATAAGGTGTTTATGAGGTCTTGTTATGTTGAATTTTAACACGTTAGTGTTTTGATTGCAGGCGGTAGTGTTGAACACTTGTACATAAACACGTTCGTGTTTGGTGTTTTCTTTTACAACACATGTCAGAGAGCACGGGGAGAGAATTAAATTACGTCATGAATGAAATAAGAATGTTAAGAGAAATATAAATATTCATGTTACTTGCCATTTAATTTGTGTAACATTTCATTAAACTAGTTTTCCTTCTAGATCTCTGGAAGGAACCAGATTTCAACTAAGAGCTCCTGTTTAGATGCAGTACAGATGAAAAGTAATTGTCCATGAGTTGATAATGTAAAAAACGATTTTTTTTTTAATTTCTAGTTTCTAGTGAGAAATGTTTGTAAAGATTGGCCTCGCGTTAGATTCTAGAGCTAAAGTCTTCAACAAGGTCGTTTTAGACCTCAGTTTTTCAAACTAATTAACTCTGGCGGGAAGTATGTAAGGATCTTAAGTTTTACTAACGTTTATTTATTTTAAATCTTTACTATCACTTCCTATTTTCTACTTCCGGCCAGAATTAAAAGCTTTAACTTATTTATGCAAATTTGTCTTGCGAACGCCAAGTACTAAAATTTGTGGCTTTTTGCCAAGCAAGAGAGAGGAAGGAGTGATTAGGAGCAGGCCGCTTGCCATAGCAGTTTTACTCGGTTGCTAGTTGCCTTCAAGGCCAGAGGTTTAATCCTCTTGATAATTTTAAACATATCGTAGTGTTAACAGTTCTCTGTACTATATACGGCCAATCTTCAAGTAGGCACTTGTTTATTAATCCAAAGTTAGTTTAGTTAGAGTTTAGTTAATATTTTTATATTCTTACGTTCAGACCACAAGTGGTTGGTCTCTGTATTCCGAAGTCCGGAAATTATTGTAAAGAGAGAAAAATAAAGGGTTTCGTATACCCTTCCTGTGTATCTTGTCTACTTCCCACATTTATTGAACATAGCTTTAGTAAGCTCCCTGTTCCGAGTCAGGTCATTTAATGTTCCCAAACCAAGTGAGGAGGAACAGTGAACCTGATAACTTCTTTATTAATTCACACATCGAAGATTGAAAATTTGTGGAAATTAGATTTATTGGGCATTCGAGATCCTGTTGAAACAAAATGCAAAAAGGAAATCGAAATTGCAGCATTGAATCATTTTAACAAAACTGTTACCTTTAAAGAGGGAAGATATGAGGTTCAGTTGCCTTGGGTAATAGAAAAGAACTGTTTAAGTCAAAATTTCGATATTGCTAGACAGCGTTTAAACAGTACGACAACACCGGTTGATACAAAAGGGCAAATTCGAGGATTAACGAAAAATGTTTCACAGATTGGTTTAAATGAAGGAATTATAGAAGAAGTCCCTGAACACGAAATGAATAATCAGTGTCACTATTTACCCACATAAAGGGGTATTCAAAAGAAACTTCGACCACGAAATTGCGACCGGTTTTTGATGCTTCCTGTAAAGACAAAAATTCGCGCTCACTTAATGATTGCCTAGAAAAGGGTCCAAATTTGCTGGAACAAATTATTCCTATAATTTTAAGATTTCGCAAGAATAGAATAGGAGTTATTTCAGACATAAGAAAGGCTTTTTTGCAAATGTCAGTGAATAAGAGTGATCGAGATTTCTTACGATTTTTATGGTGGAAAGACTTTGACAAGAAGGAACTTAGAGTTTTTAGACATAAACGCGTTGTTTTTGGATTGAATTGCAGTCCCTTTTTATTGGCTGCTGTATTAAGCCATCACATTGATCTAAATTCGTCTAAATATCCTGAAACAGCGGAAAATTTAAAAGAATCATTCTACGTAGATAATTGCATTACATCTGTTCCTGATGAAGAGACACTTACGCGATTCATCGAGGAATCGAAACAGATATTAGATTCTGCGTCATTCGATTTGAGAGGGTGGGAGCACACTTCTCTTTTGAAATCTGAGGACAGTATAGAACCTACTCCTGTATTGGGAATTTTATGGGATAAGGAAGATGATAGCCTTTTCTGTGAGGTGAAGACTGCTACTGAGAAACCAGTGAATCTTACTAGAAGAAATATATTGTCTGCGGTAGATCGCATTTTCGACCCCATGGGTTTTCTCTGCCCTATAAAGCTAACACCTAAACTACTCATACAAAAGACATGGTTGTTAAAAATTGGTTGGGATAGAAATATACCCGAAGACTTAGGAAAAGAGTTCTATTCGTGGATTGATGATTTGTCACTTTTATCCAGTATTAGAATTCCAAGGGCTTTAGATATAAATGGAAATGAAAAGTCTTAGTCTTCATTCATACGTTCTGTGACGCAAGGAAACAAGCCTATGGATGTGTGATTTATTTAAGAAAAGAAACAAGTGAAAAATGTATCGGTTGTATTTTCTTCTAGCTAAAAGTAGAGTGAGTCCATTAAGAAAAATGACCATAGATCGTCTAGAATTATTATCCTGCTGTATAGGAATCAGACTCGCAGCTCTTGCTTTACAAACACACAAATTAGACAACGTTCCAAGGAACTATTGGACAGATTTGAGTACTGCTTTTTCTTGGATACAAAGAGATGACCATTGGGCGCCATTTGTCGCAAATAGAGTAAAAGAGATACGAAAATTGTCATCGGAATCTGAATGGCGTCACATTACAGGAAATTCGAATCCAGCAGATATACCATCACGAGAGTGTTCGATTAAGAGTTTTGTGAAATCTCGCTGGTGGCAAGAGCCAGAATGGCTTATGAAGAACGAGGAAGTGTGGCCAACTAGTAAAGTGATTACTAAGGAAGAAGAAGAATTATGAAAGAAAAGCGAAAGAACATTATTTCGACTTTGGCTAATTGCTGAGAAGAAATTAGTGAAGATTGTTCAACAAGAAGCATTCTCTAGTGAAGAACAGTTGAAGGGACATTTTACTTTTAGAGATGAAGAAAGGATTATAAGATTGAAAACGAAGATTTTGAGAAGACATGATGATGAAAACTTCCGGTGCCCCATTGTACTTCCATCCAAACATGAATTAGTAGAAAGAATGATACAAGACTACCATTTACAACTTTTACATGCTGGTACTCAAGTTCTTTTGACCAATATTCGTCAAAAAATTTGGATAATAAAAGGAAGAAAAACAGTACAAGGAGTCATATCGAAGTGCGTTCGGTGCAAGAGACACTCGGCGAAAGCTCTTGATACAGTGCCTTGTCCTCTCCCAGAAGATCGAGTCAGAGATGCTTATGCATTTGAGGTGACAGGTGTTGATGTAGCAGGACCACTTTATTTAAAAGAAAATAGAAAAGCTTGGATGTTGCTTTTTACTTGTGGAGTTTATCGTGCAGTTCATTTAGAATTAATTGAAAGCTTATCGACTAACGGATTTAGAAGATTCATAGCACGAAGAGGACGGCCTAGAGTAGTATACAGCGATAATGGCACAAATTTTGTAGGGGCAAGGAATTTGCTCCGATCTGTTGACTGGAACCAAATTATCAGAAGTTCTTCGATAATGAAAATTCAGTGGAAGTTAAATCCACCAACCGCAGCATGGTGGGGCGGCTGGTGGGAGAGACTGGTTCAGATGATCAAAAAATTATTTAGAAGAGTCGTGGGGAAAAGCATTACTTTCATATGAAGAAATGTTAACTATCCTATGTGATGCAGAAGCAAATATCAACTCCAGACCATTAACATACGAGTCAGAAGATTCCACCGATTTATGTGCACTCACTCCATCTATGTTTATTCAGGATGTGCAAACTGAAGGTGTTCCGGATCTGGACAGTTTGGATAAAATCAACTTATCGAAGAGAGGGCGTTTCCACCAAAAGTTACGTGTGGAATTTCGTAAAAGATTTAGAGAGGAATATCTTGGTATGTTAGTACATCGACCAAAGACCGTATCTTCGCGAACCATCAAGAAAGGTGATTTAGTGTTTGTAGAGGACGATAAAAGGAAAAGAACAGACTGGCCTATGGGTCGTGTGATCGATGCATACCCAGGAAAAGACAACAACATCAGAGTGGTGAAAGTAAAAACATCTAATGGTGAACTGTTAAGACCAGTACAAAGAGTATTTCCAATGGAGATAGACAATAAAGAATCTATCTTCGAGTTTAAAACTACTCAGTCATCCAAATCTTTGAGAAATACTGGTAAAATGAATGATTTAGTAATTGATACCGAAGACTGTGAATTTGAAAATTCTGATAAAAACATTTCAGTTTAGTAGATATGGCAGAAAAATTGTGAAACCAAAGAACTTTAATTAGTTTAATTTTGTTTTCAGTACCACTATTATTTGTTTTCTTTGTTCTTTCTTTGAATTTAAATTTTGTATACAATTTGGTTTTCCAGTTTAGAGAATTAATCTCTTTGCTAGTATTTTTCAGAAAAGAATTTTTTGCCTGTTGTTTTTAAGAATGTAAGTTTGTAGAATATTAAGTAAGTTTAAAATATTCAAGATATTTGTTACGCCTAGATGAAATTGTTGATTTTGGTAAGATTTAAATTACTCATCTTATATTCGTATTTCAATTTTCATTGCACAATTGTTTTGATTTTTTCATACTTTATCAAAAATCAAAACGTGGGAGAAATGTTACAACTCGAACGCGAAATGAGCGAAAGTTTCTCTTCAGCCAGTGGCAACGGGGAGTCGAAAAATGAACTTGGAAGAGAGCGGTCGCTCAGTTTTTCTCTTGATAGAATTTGATACGAAGGGGGAATGATCCCCATCTTTTGATTTGAAATTAATCTCGAATATGAATATATTGTAATATAAAAGATGTGTGTAAATAAAAGTCATTAAGACTTAATTGAAGTAGTGATTTGAATCGAATATAGAGATCGAAAGCTCTCCCAAACAGAACTATGGATTTTAGAAATGACAGAATGACTGCTATGCAATCGAATGCAGTAGGAGAATGCAATGGAACTAGATAGATAACACGAGGGATTCCTTTGGCCCAAATCGACTAAAAGCGTTTTGAATCAGTATCTTCATGTTTTAGAGCCGAATCAGGCTTCAAAAATTACAAATTAGCGATCTGTAAGAAAACGATTCCCAGATTGTACTCACTTGCGCGAGTGATTTGCGATCTTATATTTTCTAATCGCTAATTCCTGGTTTTCACGGACGAATTTCTCACTTACACGGATGGCGCACTCGACGTTTTTCGAATTTAACGCCTTTAAATGGTAATTTGCTTATGTCAAATTTTCTTAAGGGTATACAACATATTAAACCCGTGTAACAAAAGCTTAAGTTAGATTCCGACCCATATTTCGTTTAACAATATTGCATACAGCGCCATTTCCCCCTTGGTGGTGAAGTTTCGAACTTTTTTGACGGAAAATAAATTCCCATGACCTCCTTTACACGGTTACCAAGTTTGATAACATTTGATTCAGTAGTTTTCCTTTTATGACAGTTTCAAAGTGGAGCTTTAATTATAACCACCCTGTATATTATTAAATTTTAATTTGAAGCTATGCGTTATATGTATACCATGCGTAAATTTTTTGCTTTTATGGAAAAATAAAGAATCGAAAAAAAAAATCGAAGCAAATATACTTAGGATAATGGACCAAAACTGAAAAAATTTCCTCTCCCTCCGAAAATCAAATATTGAAACTTCGACCTTGAATTTATTGGGTTATCGAAATATTTACTTTGACTTATCTTCTAAGTCCTAGTTCTGACAAAAATTCCGTCAAAAACTCCGAATTACTGAAGCTGAAGTAAAAGGTTTAGTATATATTCACTGTATGTTATAAAGTAATCAGAGTGTAATAAAAATAGATTATAGAATTTACGCTGATGCAACTTTTTGTCTGACTGCACAACATGTAATGGAAGAGAAGGCTTGTAGAGATCTGTTTTTGACATGCCTCTAAAAGTAGATGTCATACTCATTTTGTCTCTTCAGTGTCAAAAAACATTCCTTTAAGAGGCAACTTTAGTTATTGGGAAAGAAAAAAAATCACAAGAAGACAAATTTGAAGAACATGCAGGACGATTGAGTACACATACTTATTTTCAGAACACAAGCGGTTCTCTGACTGGTTATTGAATAATGTAAAGATGCATTCTCATGCAATACAAAACATTTGGAATATGTTTTCTGACTGAAAACGTAAGATTAAAAGTCATCTGCTTAATTCACAGCCATTTACAAGTCAACTACTCGGGCAATTCCAGAATCCTTTTGATCCTGAGCTTGTAAGACAAACCTAATATCACTGGATTTAAACACTTCTTTAATCTTTCGAGAACGTTTCTTCTTTAGCTCATATTCCAAGAATATTAAGTGAATACAATTATTGCAAAAGAAATTGAATACTTATTTGCACTACGGCTTGTAGTTTACTAACGAGTTAAAAAAACTTAAATTCTGCTTTTCGTGTATAAGAATACAACAATATTTTAAATATTTACAAATAAAATATTAAACTAGAGATTTAATTGGAGCCTCACCAGTTGCCTAGCATTTGAAAATTGTTAAATACTAATCGTTTGTTGCGAAGTCTAACCCAGGCTGCATGGTTTGTTTTCTTAGTTTTCTAGGTTCTCTTTAGAAAGGTTCTCTATGAAAGCATCTTAATCAAATAGCTCCCATGTTCTTTCTTTGTTCAAATAACCAACTACCCTAGTTTAAGCGCGAATTCCAAGTAAAGTTACAAGCAAAACCCGAATACTCATTAAAAATCATGTAGCTTGCCCATCGGGAGTAACATGAAACATACGGAGCCAATATTTGAATCGCTGTTTCTAAACTTAGATGGTCATTCCTTAATTAAATAGCCCACCAGCGGCAGAGCGATAAAGACGCTGAATACTGGTAGTTCGTTCTGAGTTTCGAATCCTGCTAAAGGACAGGCTGCATGGGCGTTTTCGTGGTTTTTTCCCATGTGTAACGTATATACGAGCCACTATCTCTTAGAAAGTCCTCCACGAAGGCATTCCTCCCTTTAGGCAGATAGCCCTCGTGTGCTTTGCGATAGTTAAATAATCTACTCCAATCCAATCCTTAATTAAATATAATTGATTTGTAACTTCTACTAGAGCTGACGGTAAGAATTGAAGTGTAAATAAATAATATCGTGTGCAATCTTGATTAATATAAAATTTAAAATATTTTCATAGAAAAATATTTTCATTCAGAGAGAAAGTTTTTTGAAATATTTGCAATTACTTATAAAAAGGATTTATTAATAACCGTAATAATTACTTATTATATTACTGATGATTAGGATTCAGTTCTTGACAATTACATTCTAAATTAGAATTTTAAGGATATAATGAAAATGCGCTACGCACAAAAATACACTTTAGAATAAAAAATGAGTTGATATCCTCGTTGTTAATTGAATCCAGAATGTTGGGTGTCGTTTATATAATTATTCTTACTTGTCCACAGAATCTGCTGACTTATCCAGCCATTAAGTAGCTGCAGATCATTTCTACATAACCATTGAACTTCCATTAATTCAGTCTCTAGAGGGTTGTATGTTTATATCATAATTTGACTTTTATAAAAATGATTATTCTAAATCTTATGTTTCTATAAAAATATACTGTGCTTTAAAAATATGGATGATAGTATCAGCCGCTCTTTCAGCCACTTCAAAAGCAGCAGTTTGTTTAGAAATAAATTATGTAGTTAATGTCATAAAATTCAAATAAACATCAAACGAAAATTCTCAGTTTTAGACAATTCGATTTATACGAAGTAAAGTAGCAGACGATAAAACGCCGAGGGCAAAAATTTACTCTTATTTTTTTTTAAAAAGATAGAGAGAAATTTAAAAAAAAAAGTAGGTAAAAATTTGAATAATATTATTTATAATTTAAAATAAATAGCTTTTCATATAGTATTAATAAATATTTATTACGCATCATTGAGAGAAAAAATGTCATATAATTAATTCTCTGTAAAATTTTACTTGAAATTTAAGGTTAAAAATAGTTGAGGCAATTCACTGTAACAAAAATCCATAGATCACATTTGGCGTTATTATCGCTCAAAAAAAAGATGCCAAATTTCAAAACACGAAAATATGTAAATTCGTGTATATCTTAGAAAATTTTGAATAAAAAAGTCTAATTTTTTGCAGATATGCTTAAAACTACACCTACGTTAAGATGATGGTAAAAATTTTATAGGTTATAATTCAAAATGTTTTTCGAAAAATTTGTAAAAATTATTAAAAATATTAAAAAAAAAAAAACAAAAAATGGGTAATTATTTGGAATGAAAAAATGGGTAAATTTTATTTGGAAATGAACCTAAATTTCGAAATGTGAAAGAAAAATAATAAAAGTTTAATAAAAAAAGAGATATTAATAAATATTTACCAAATTCAATTAACATTGAGGAGCTAAAATTTTGAGAGCTAATATTTTAAAAACTACTCGTACGATTTTTACAAAACTTGGTATTCTGGCATAATTTGAGTCGTAGAATTGAAATATGGAAAAATATTGATATGTTATTTCAGAAAAAGTCCGATTTTGTGTCAAAATACCTATGTTAGAATAGTGCTATATATAAATTTAATATATATCCTAAGTCGCGATTTCGAGAGATGAAAAACGCAGTTTGAATTTTGTCAATCGGCCCAGTAGAACG